AATTTTGTAAGGAGGGAGGATTGTAATATCCCGAGATATTATCAGTATAAATTATGTTTAATTCCGATATAGTAACGTTAGCGTTTATTATTTTCGGAATTAAATTAAGTTCAGTCGGATTACCGAAATTTATTTTCGGCGTACCGTTTACGTCCGAAATAATTTTGGTAACTAAGTATTATGTTTAATTTAATAATTAAACATCAATGGAATGATTAATTAAATTTAATCACATGATTAGCCCTAATTTTATCCAAATAGCCGTGAGTGTTAATGTAATAGCCGTCCATGACTTAGAATTTTCCCAAAATTTTAAAGGACAAGCCGTGCACTTTCTTTAGCCAAAGGAAAGGGTATTGGCCAATCAAATTCAGCAACTTGTCAAGTGATTAGATAGCTTAGTCATCACATCTTCATCCCAAATTGTAGCAAGTGTAAGAGCATGAAATAGCCACATTAAACTTACGTGGCTTTAGCACCCTACGGCCATTTATTTAAAGGGTGATTGTGGACAAATTTTGCCACTTTTCTTAAGGAAATTCCAGCCCTTGTTCCTCCCTCTATCGGCCTTAAAAGTTCAGTAAATTTTCCCAATAATTAAGCATCAATCGCACGGCAAAGTCCATAGCAATCGCACGGCCAATTGAGGATCTACCGCACGGAGCTTTCGCGAGGAAGAAGCACACCACACTTTCGATTTCCTATCGAGCGATTGAAGAGGTAATTCCTCCTTCAGGATATATGCAGGTTAATAGGATCAATTCCAAGTTAGTTGTTTGGAAAATTTTCAGAAATTATGTTAAAAACCGCACCTAAGTTCATGTGTGCTTAAGTGATTTTGACACCGAACAAAGTTCAATTTTCTCCGACAACTTTCGAACAAAAGTCATTTTTATGATCAGTATAGTCTATATTAAGTTCAGCATGATTTGATTGTTGAGTTAAGTTGAAGAATGGCCGATGAAAGGGCCCCGCCGGCGCCCCGCGCCTATCGCGCATAGTTCGGGTAGCCGCGGGCCGAGGCCTATTGTTTCAGTATTAACCGAGTTCTCTCGTGTGATTAAGCTTCGTTTTATTTCAGTATAGTATCCATATGGACTTGTTCAGTAGTTGTCGGATAATTTGTTAGTTCGGCCGAGAACGGCGTGTAGCCGTCGGCGGGCACGGGCGTCCGTCACGGCCATTTTTGCATTCAGTACGCATAACCAGAGTTTAAGTGATGTATTCAGTGATATTAAGTGCAGATAAGTAGGTCAGTTAAGGTGCTTGGTGAGGTGAGAAGTAACCGAGGGCCGTGAGCCGCACCCTCGCACGTAGCGAGAGCGTGCGGAGGCGCGCTATGGCCGTAAGTACGGCTTAGCAAGTAAGTTCAGTAGATTCTGTGTAAAGTCAGTTCAAAGCTCAT